TTACATTAGACTGCTGTACAGCAATATATCTTAGCTTTTCTCTGTTGCTTCATTGATGAAAAATCCAAAATAACTAGAACAAAATGTGTTTGAAGTTTTCCATCATGTCACAGTCAGACTTTTATGCTGAATTGTAGCATTACATGTATATTGTGAACTTTGTGCGGCCAGTGTTTCCAATTTAACTCAACGTTCCAAGCAATTATTTTCCATTTCCTATCAAGTGGGCAAAACATTTACAACACAAAACAAGGCAAACTTCCAGAGTTCAGACTGAGTATCAACCAAATGTTACCAGTCACTCCACTCCTAGCAGAAAAAAAGAGAGGCGGGTGTTTATAATGGAGATCAATGGCACATTTGACGCGGAGCACGCCGAGTACGTGGAAAAAGTTTATTCCTTAATGTATGGTCTCTGCGTAAACACAGAATGCGTGCAAGAACTCGCTTGGAAAACTTACAACGATCTGCTTTTCTTTTGCCACTTGGGGATGCACCTCAACTCGGGGTGGATACAGCCAAATTACCATAATATGTTACTTTTGGACATGCTTCTTAATAAAAGTCGAAAGTTCCATACTCAAGTATCACACAACCAATTTACAAACACAATTTTTACAAATGACTGAAAGTTCAAAACCTCGCGTCAAATTTCTGAAATATACACACCTATATAAACATTACTTTAACAGAACTCAAGCACAGTCATTAAAACCTTCCAAACTGTAACATCTAATACAAGTGGCACAAGCATTAATCAATTTTCATAAAATATTGAACACTAAACAGTTACTGGAAACGGTGCAAAAATCCATTTTACCTCTTCCGTCAACCATAATATAATCTTAAATTGCACCTCAAAGATATGAAATATGTCAGAAGCCGGCGGCCCTTAGAAACTCCAGGGAAAAAAATTAACCTCAAAACCCTGACAATCACTCAATATTTTCAACATTAAAGCTGTCATAACACTTTGTAAACACGGAACGTTTTGTTGTGGAATGCAAGATAGAAATATCTTGTATACTCTGCCGTTTGTTGCTTGATGACATCACAGAATCTTCCCACCTTGGCTTCCGCTAAGAACTTCAACTCTTCAGCTTGAGCCCCGTTATAAAGCTATAAACAAAATAAATTAAAAAAGCCATCAAATCCAAGTGACTCATAAATTAACGACCTTTAACCTATATCTTGTCACCCCACCCCTTCGTCGTTGAGCCACACCCCTTTCTACCAACACACACTTAGTCAATGTAAAGCCTCTACTTACATGACCATTGGAGATATCAATCAAGTCTGGTAACCTGCATCCTAGAGCTGCAGCCCTGGCATAGCAAATACTGTCTTCAAGGATGATATAGTCAGTACCCATGGCTTTGTGTATGTTATACACTTCCTTGGGCATCCGTCTTCCATAATACTGATACAGCTGCCAAAAGGAAATAACACAGAGCTGTTTAGAGAGAGGGTTGCGACATGAGTGTCTCAATTGTTGGAACCAAAATGGTGGATTGTGCACCAGTGAATGCTGTACTGTACACACACTGAGCAGCCATGTTTGTTCTGAAGTCTGAAGTTGGCACGACTTTCTCCATACATAGCTATGCTCTGAACTTGATTTTAACTTGAAAGTGAACGTCAAGGGCTCAAACGTGAAGAGAATCACCCTCTCACCTGCAATGTCCTCTCTCGGAGCTCTTTGTCCTCGTAGTGAGGGTGGTTGGTCAGTCTACGGCCGGTACACAGCTTGACGCCAGCAAGGAGCTGCATGCTACCACTGTACACAGTAGCTTTGGGGGTCTGCTCTCTGCAAACATTCAAAAAGGACACAACCAAATTCCAAACCATTGTTCAAATTGGAGGTGGCTTTTCATACCAAAATGTTCGTGAAGTGATGATAAGCCTTTTGCGAGTTAACTTTGACCCAAATCTTGTACACTTGAGTTCTTTGAATTCACATGAACACAACTACTTGATTTCTCCATACTAAAAGCACTGTTCCTATACCTCATGATTGGGGCCAAGCTGTTGCTTAGTTACATAAGAGATGCCTTGCAACAATACACTGTTCTCAATGGATAAGAAGGGCACAAAGGAACCAGTCCATTCCAGAGATGATGGTCGCTATGCAAGGTTGTGTGCTGCACTGCACACATACTGAGCAGCCATGTTTGTTCTGAAGTCTGAAGTTGGCACGACTTTCTCCATACATAGCTGTGCTCTGAACTTGATTTTAACTTGAAGTGAAAGTCAAGGGGTCAAACATGAAGAGAATCACCCTCTCACCTGCACGAGGTATAGCAACAGTGTCTTTAGTCTGGGGAATTCAAATCGTTATGTTTATGTGCAATCAGATAACTCGGTGTACCAGATTTTATTCAAATTTAACTTGAAAATGGCTTATTGGTTTCTACGATAATATCTGTCAAAGTGTTAATTTGAGACTTCATTTCAACTAATTTCTTATACATATGTTTGGAATTCAGAAAGCAATATTTTTGCCAGATTTTTCTCAGTTGAATATGAACAATATATTACTACAGTCAATGTTTGCGAAGAAATGAAGCCTCTTGACACTTCGAAACATAAATCCTGACAACTGGTTCAAATCTACCAGCATCTTGTCACACTAATTGATGACAGCACCAAGCATACCTAATCCAATTCATGAGCTCCACAGTGTCTGGATCATAGAACTCACGTAATTCTTCCAGTTCAGTGTACACTCGAGGTAATGACTGTGAGGTGAAGGAAGGTAATGCGAAAATCAACATTTCTGTGCATCAGAAAAAGGGCTTCTGACATCTCCCTTTTTAAATCTAGACAGGCTGACACAATTTGAAATACTTCATATTTGCATGTAATTCTTTGGAATCTCCTGGATTGGAAAGTTTTGACATGTAGGTTTGATTTCAACCTGAGCATTCAATGGATACTCACAATGGAGAGAACTAGAGCTAGCACAAGGAAGGTGGCAACATGACGAGCACTCTGCACCTGTTCAAACATCAATTAGGAAGTTTATTCTTACTATACCAACCCACTTACAATTGTTCTCAATCATCAAAATACCAATTTTTTTTCATGAACAGAACTTCAGTTACAAAAGTTATATTACAAAGGAACAGCTGTAAAGGCCTGGATAAATTTCTGCTGAAAGAATTCCATCTCAGGTATGGCAAACAGAATTTATCAGTAATCTTTTATTTAATTAGAATCAAACAGACTCATCTGATACTTAGCAATACACAATTTGGTAAAAAAAAAAATACCTACACGGTCCAGTTTTTGTTAACTTGTCCAAATTTTCTGGGAGTTTTTACAGAGGGTACATGTATGCTAAATGATTTAATAACAAAATATTTAAAGTTTTTCATCAGCCACAGATACATGTAGACAAGAATTCCAATAGTGTACACTATGATGGTCTGCATTTATCTTCAAAGTTTCTCACCCCAGACTCTGATTTAAATCCAAGCCGCGTCAGCAAAGCCCTCCAAGTCTGATAATCACTGACTCCAAACGCAGCCAGGACACACACATGGGGAAGCCATAGGTACTTCAGCCTCTGAATGGCTAAGGCTAGGCAGGCTGAGAAGACCGACTGGATGGCTAGATAAGCAAGCTCTGGCCGGTCGCTGAGGAGGTGGATGGAGTCTAAGGCCTCTTGACTTGGGGGAGTGTCATCATCCTTCTTGGCCCTGGCAAGATCGGCTTGATTTCTGTCGACAAGTAGCCAATATGTTAACAAAAAAACCTCAAACAAATCTCAGCTTTGGGGTAAGATTTTGAAAATGTAAAATACTCATTTGCAAGACAACTTTTTTCCATCTCAAAATTCTGGTTAGATACTAAAAATCCTGATCCTATAAATCAAATTATTAAATCATAATTGCAACAAGTGGTTCACCTCCAATTCTGATACACTGCTGTGGCTAATGCAATCAATAATCCAACCATAACAGCCATGTAGAGTGGAAAGACTAGTCTCCTACTCAGCCGCCAAAATGTGTCCACAGGTAGGAAACCAAAGGCCCCATTGCACTGGTACATCAGAGCATCAAAATCTCTGAAAAAGAGACAACATCAAAACCAACTTACACTGAAATTTTGTACAACTCTTTTTCTCTGCTTTTAACCAGTCATTTTTTTGGCAGTTCAATTCAAAATACTAAGTTTTTTTCAAGCACGAGTTCCAATTTTTCAACTTTTACTCAAAACCTGCAGCTTTAACAAATGACATCCATTTCACACTCAGATTAATCAAACAAAAATCTGTGGCAGGCTATCACTATTGCAATAGGTCAAACGGGGAAATGGTCTGAGTAAATGAAACCTTCATTTCAACATTATTAGATTCTGGATATAATTAAATTGAACAGTAAATGCAGAGGGGGTATTCTTTTGAATGTGTGGTTAAGTTTCACTCCTGAGGTAAGATCCTTGCCCACCTGGTGTTGGCAATTCCAAATTTGGCTGTCAGGAACTTATAGATGTGTTGGTCTGCCTCAAGCCCAATGGCAAACTAAAATCAAAACCCAAGAAAAAAACAGTTACCCAATCATTTAAAGGAATCAAATCTTAAACATTTCATGTTAGGTTTCCTTTTTTTAAAAAACAGTTTGCAGGAATTCTTGAATGTGTTTAAAACATGATGCTTAACAAACTTTCGCAAGTTAAAAAACTAGAGACAGTGCAACAGTCACAGAATATCACAGACTAGTTACCTTCATGGTCATGTTGATGAGCACCGTCAGAATCAAAACCAGGGCGATGTGGACCAGCAGCTTGGCAAAACTGGTTAAAATCCCTCCTGAGTAGGGACGACTTCCCTGAAAAGCAAAGAGATACAATATTGTCAGATACTTGAAGAGATGGTGGAAAGACTTGACCGTTTCCTTCACAATGCGGTGACCGTCTCGCACCTCATCACGGTGTTACTTCAAGCCTTCAGTAATTTTCAGATCATACAAGACAAGCATATTCTGCTACAAAATCTTGGTAAATCCCTTCTCCTCCATTAATCCACCAGTCCACCTCTCTGGAGGTTTTTTAAACTGTCGTCATAGGCTCTATTTACACTACGTGTCTGCTGATTCATCATGAAAGCTTGACGCCTACTGAACTCACCTGCAATCGCAGATCCAGGAGAGCTGCCATGATAAAACTGAAGACAAGAGAACCAAGGAGCATCTTATTGAAAAACTGGAGGATGCAGACAGAGAGGATGCAGACGGCCTGAAGGAGCAGCAAGCGAACCACCTGATGGAAAACAAGAAATCTAATCAATACAATAATGGATTGATTGAAACAAAAAAGGAGGGAGCTGAGGAACATCTCAAGGAATGAAGAGATGTGGTCACAGAGGATGGAAATTGTCTCAAAGTGATTGATCCATCTAAGATATAAAGGGAACATGAGATAATTAAGTTATTGATCTTGATGAAAAGGTTTTGCATCACGAAACAGCTAATTAAAACAACAAAGTAAGACAAAGAATGAAACGATGCATATGGCCTGAAGTAGTGGTTGTAATCACTTTGTTGAAAAATACAATACCTAAAATTTAAAACAAATTTCACAGTTCAATGAAATGATCTTTCTGAGGTAAAATAACAAGCAAAATGATGCATTATCATTTTGTGACAGACTGACCAACGAACAGACTACTCATACCTTGTGTCTAGGGACCATCTGTAGGCTTGCTGATCCATACAATGCCATGGCTTGGAGTAGGAACACAAACTGAGCAAATTGCCAGGTCAGGACGAAGAGAAAGGAGCTCAGCAGGGTGACAGCAACGCACAACCTCTGTCAAGCAATAATACAGAGATTGGCAGGACTTTTAATACACAACTTTTCAAAATTAACGTTACTTTAACGACAAGCCTCCGAGACCTTCAAAATCTGACAGGTTTCAAAGGAAATTCACAAAATCAATATAGAAAATCATTAGTCCCACGTGTTCTAACACGAGTATCACATGGCAATTTGGATATGAAAATAGTGACTCGACATATAAAATTTCGCAGCTAAATTCTGGCACAGTGATGGCCAGATTACTACTGGCACAGGTAAAACCATGAAGTAGGGACCAGCTGGGGCCAATTTCATAGAGCTGCTTCAGCACAAAATTTGCTTAAGCGCAAAAAATCTTGCTTAAAAAACAAAACTTACCAGCTCAAAATCCATGTGATTGTCATGCTAACCAAAAGACAGGTGAATACCATTCCAAAACAATGTACAGCACATGGAGTTTTGGCTGGTAACCTGATTTGTCAAGCAGTGTTTTTTCATGCTTAAGCAAATTTTGTGCTTAAGCAGCTCTATGAAATTGGCCCCAGATAAAATCTTTGCCACATACCTACAAGTATAGCTGCATGTAATTTGCCAAATTCCTTGAGCTCATTTTGTACTTTTCTTCATCCCGGTATAGCCCATGGGTTAACAATTTATTACAAGGCACTGTAATGTTTGGCAATCTTCCAATGAAGAATCTCACCCAACAAATCAAGTGCAAGAAGGCTGACACCCACGACAGTACTGGCAATGAGCCCAGTTCGTTTTTAATATAGATCTCTTCAAAAACTGATGGGCTTAACCTGCTGTGACTTCAAAAGTCTTACAACACTTAACTGCTCACTGCTGCTGAAGCCATTTATCAGTAAGCCACTGATTTGCTATATATTACAATTCACAAACAAGTTTCATGTTTGTGGAAGCAATGGCTTATTATTTCAAGCAGACATAGAGCTTGACAACATCAAAGCATTGAGCCAATTTGCTTGTATATACTTGTTGCAATTTGATGCATTCCTCTCAATGGCAAAAACAATTTTTCTACTGCTTTAACGTGTCAGTCCAATTCTCAAAACAAATGCAAAATGAGCTTCCTTTTAGGGACCCCATGCCTAATACATTTAAATGTAAACATGGTTTTGGAAAGATCTGGAAAGGTTAATCGGCTGACAGTGAATCCCACCTGTCGCATGACAGTCGTGATGGGTCTGAGGTAATAAGTGATGCACGCCATCTGGAGGAACAGCATGGGCAAGGCAAAGCTCTCCCTCAAAGGAATGGTGTAGTCTACTCTGGTTGTATCGTCCCTGGAAAAAAAAATTAGGACTGGCAATAATCCGTGACAGAAACAGCAACCAGAATGGACTTCCAGCTGTATAAACAGAAACAGAGCCGCAAAATAAAAAAACTGGATGAATTCAATCCAGCATCACTAGGGTAACTGGCAAAACAGCAGTCCCATTTCACCTCTACATTTTCTGCAAGTTTTCTACAAGTGGTTTTCTCCTTACTTGTTGAAAACGTAGAATGCAGAGGCAAGTACTCCTGCCAACCAAGATCTGGTCAGCATCCATGCTGTGCAGTACAAGGCTACCAGATACAAGCCATGCAAGGAAAAGACAGAGTAGATGTAGAAGAAAATCGGTGGGTAGGCTCTCTGTAAAAAAAAAAAAGAAACAGATCATGGTGAGGTAGAAATGGGTGAAGTAGAGCTAAATGTAAGGTGTGGCTTTGTGGAGGAATTTACCAAGCCCAGAGACAGGTTTGTGGCAAGAACTGCTAAACGATGAGGACTGCCAGTGACCGCTTCTTTGTCGACTGTTGCTTGATGAATATGTAAACCTGCTGAACAGCTCGGCAACATTTCCTGCTTAGGTGCTCCATGAAAGTGGGCTTTGCTCTGAGACTACAAGTGTACATGTAAAAAGCTGCTGCGCACATTTACCAACAAACTCAATGATAAACTACTGGATTTGAGACTGAAAAGAAGCAAATTGCGGCAGTAGATGCTGCAAGAAAGTTGCTTGGAATGGATACATCTTGCATCCACCTCAAAAAGATTTACATGTATCATGAACTACTGGTATGCCAGACGTAAACTACGAGAATATTACGATGGTCCCTCCACACAAGATCAATTTAATTGTCTCAAATAGCTTCTAAGGCATTACCTTTACAATGATGAAATTATGATCCCTGTGACTCATATTCAGTGGAAATTTGGGTCAGATAACTCTGTGAAGTTTAATACATGTACGATAATGCTATCACATGGATCCATGCGGGTTGATGACTATTGATGGCCATGCATGGGCTCACTCTAGTCAGCTCGTATATGGAAAAAGGAGGTAGTAAATTAGCTGGGATCATCAGGGATTTGGTGACAGGAAATGCAATTTTGCTAATGATGATGTGCGGGACCATCTTCATGCAAGAACTTTAAAGGGGGAGGGCAGGGAACTCTGCGACATTTGAAAGAAAACAACTTCAGTTCCCCGACTCAAATTTGATTAAGCATGTAATTATTAATGATTGAGAGGCATGACCATTTTGACGGGGGAGGGGGGATTTAAAGTGAGGGAAAGGAAGAAAAATAAGCATAATTGAAGGGGAAAATCCTAGACTACAAACATACAAAGGGATGCTAACTAGGGCTCATGTAGACAAGAATTTTACTTCTCAATTGAACAAGTTGAGTAACATAAAAATTGTACATACCTGGATAAAACCAAAGGTTCTGTAGATGATACCAAGAACAACCTCCTGGTAGATGTTGAACCTTTCCAAGGCATTGATTGTCCGCCAATTCTCTGTGTCATTGTCGTGAGTTAAGGCATAGAGGCCTGTGGGCAGAGATTACGGAAGGCATTATCAGATGGCTAGATCACAGGAAGGCAGGAGAAATGGAAGAGCCAGTCATGTCAGAAGAGATTGGCAAGGAGATTATTTGAATACAAAGGCAACTGGTCCTGCCTCGGGTCAAACTGACAGGACTTGTTGGTTATCAAGTGAAATAGTCTCTTCCATGGCAAGTCTTAATCTTTACGTAGGCAACTTGGCTCAAGCCAATATCCTATTTGCATTCCTATTGACAATGTGCAATCACACTGGATGTGATCCAAGTACTTATGATGTAATTTGTTACTTTTACAGACAGAAACCTTGTCAAATTACTGAACAAAATTCTCAAGCTAATACAGTAATTTCTCTGTTCATCTACGTGCTGCATGATGATCAGAAGCAAAGAAAAAGAATGGATAAAACTGTGAGGAGGATTTTTATACTAATGTGATGAATGTAGGATTTTAAAAACAAGGTATCAATGTAGTAAATGTTTACCCCTAAAATTATAATTGAAACCACAAGACATTACCAAAACATTCTGGACCAAGGTGAACAAGTATCCATATGTACTTTACTTTCCAAAAAATGTCTGAGAATAAAATAGTTGACCAGAATTGTCAATTGCCTTGCGATCGTATTGAAATAATTGACAAACAGTTAATTTTTTCAACAGCGACACTACTGTTCAACCCAGATGTGCTTGCCGACTCTGTAGTACAGTACGGTTTTCAGTGTTCACACCACTACCCGGCATAACCGTCATGCCTTGTTAGCTGTCTGGTCTAGCCACTGGCTTAATTTATGTGGACGGTTAATTTGGGATACTTCCTGGCAAGAGACGAAAAGTGACAGTGGACAGATGAAACAGGTCAGAGGGTTTGGCGCATGTATAAAAACTTGACACACTGCACAGCTGGCCATTTACGGGTGAAGCTATGTTAACCCTTATAAGTACAATCTGGAGGAAATGCTCATGTCCACGGCTGAGGTATCCAACTTTACTGATAAACCGTATTCTCCAAACTTGACACTGTTGCTGTATAATGTGATTCCAGGCAAAGTCCAGCGCAGGTTTGGGACAGATATTGGGCTGCAAATTTGAAAACAGCTCCATTTAATTTATCACTTGCTTCTCAGAAGAACACTTTCAATCAGAATTCACAATTTTCATACAATTGAACAGACAAAGTTTAAAGAGTGGATTGAGGTGAAGGTATTTTTAAATGGATCACCTCACAAATAATACTTGGGGACATTGCTCTCTTGTCCTTTTTTATCAGGCTGAAAAGTCAGAGTGCTACAGATGCCAGATCTTGTTTGTCTCATGCACTTGCTCCGGGCAGATATGCTGATTGGTGAGGGGATGGGGAAGTCGGTCATTTCATAACGCTAAACGGCGTAGATGTCGATGTCCAGGAATAAACTTAAGGGTAAATATGAACGAGGATTAGAGTAATCCTTGCAGGGATGATCAGTGAAAATATGTACAGCCATGCAGGTGGATTCAACTCCAAATAATGTGAAACTGCAAACCGAGGATAACTACCGTAAGACAGACAAACTCAAAGATCCAATGCCATAACCGTTTCATTCTGTTAATACATGTACATTGTACATGTAGCTCCAACTCTGAACTAACCAAAATCTGTATAATGCTGGAATATAACGGTACAAGGTTGGATGGAATCCCGAATGTTATAGCTCAGCTTCCATACACACAGTTTAATGCACCTCTATCCACCTTGAATAGAAGCACCCCCTCATTGGTTGAAAAGAGCCTCGTTGGTCGGGAGTGTTCATTTGTTGGTAGTAATGCAACTGCAATGCTTGCATTTCCTAGTCATTGGTGAACCAGTGATGTGCAATTAGTACCAAACAAGCCTCAGTTTCCCAGGAGACCGCCCCTCTCTTGTGCCAGCTCAATGCCCATAGTGCATTAAAATACTGAAAAAAACTTCCGACAGAATTTCAACAGAAGCTCGAATCAACAACTGAACCCAAGAATCCATTCATTAACTGCCTAAAAGTTGCTGCATATGATCTGTAGTAGTTTGTGTGTTAGAAATGTGCAAAAAAAAAAATTCAACAGGGAATCAGATAATCCAATTAAAACAAGTTGCTTCCTGTTCTTACACAGGATGAATCCAGTCCACCTGTGCCATATGTTTGCAGCACGTGAGCCAATTTGAAGTAGCTTTCGACAACAAGACCAGCTTTTGACAGGGGTAATACCCATCACAAATAAAGGGATCCCCCCCCAAAAAAATCCAAGCTCCACGACCAACTCCTTAAACACAGCTTGAATGGAAACTTGACATGCTAAGAGTTTTAAAAACTCCCGTACGCACGATACCAGTATACATGTATATGCCTGGCTAGGAAGCTATCACACTGGATTAAAAACATTGCATTCCAAATCAAGTCACTGTCAAAAGACCAATCTTCACTCCTCGCCACATTTTGTTTGCCTTTCTAACGGTGAAAGTGGGACTTTGGCACAACAGGTCCACACCAGTGTAATTTGACTGACATTATTTTATTGGCATAATTAAGAATAAAAAGAAATACATACAGACAAACAAAAGATTAGCCATCAGAAACGTACACAAATTAAAAGACAAAGAAAATACGCTTGATATACAAGACAGATAAAACCGATCTTACAGAGGGCTTCAGTGTACATGTATAACAATCCTTTTAAGCTGCAGTGGACACATCTTCTGAATACTTCTAACATTTACCAACATTAGCTTTGTGTGGTATTAAAAAGGTGTAAAAGTCGACGGTGTTCCAGAGGACATCTAGCCCGGCCTGTGTTTAAGTGAGGAATTTGTGGAATAGTATGCAGGGGAACACACTTTGTAGATGACAGCCTACTAAGTCTGCAAATCTCAACCTTAATTTTGTCGGAAGCAGCCGTTGACGTTTTTTAATTTACCTTGTCACTGCTGTGGACATTTGAGTTTTTTCAATTAAAATTGATTTTTGAAGTAGGGTACTTTTAGTATGAAATAACTTGTTATGAAGATCTTTACACATACCGATGTAGGTAGTGTGGCTTTGTTTAATAATGGAGCGTTTATCTATGATTAAGGAACTCCGTTGTATTGATGTTTTGATAGTGAAACCGTGACAGTGAATAACCTTGTCTGACATCTGGGCAGAGGAGTCATGTGAACTCTAAACTCAATGGACCCATGCACTTGAAAACAGATTGTCATAGAAATTTGGGACAACAATTCAAATCATGATGTTTTTGCTTGGAAGATTTGGGAGTTAATAAAGACAGGCATATTAAATGAACCTATTGAGAGATATTGTAACCAATCAGAAACTATTCACCATGGCCGACACCAAAAGAAGTACTTCACTGAGGAGCAAGCCATGTTCAAGTGCTAAGCCACTCTCCCAGTCCCCTAAATGGCATGGCGTAATGGTGTGAGTACCATGGAGGTAGAGTGCAACTGTGTCTCCTATCTAAGGAATGTACTGTAAAAGTGTTTCTTTTTTAATCCCGTTCATTGCTTCCAGGGAAAACATTCTTACTGCTTTTCAATCTCATCATTTCTGCTAATAACAGGACTTAAAAGGGGCTGAATACATTAATCAAAATTGGGTTTACCTTACGCAAGAAAGGATGAAATATATACTCAAGAAATTAAGCCCCATTTAGAAACTGTGCGATTAACGCACAATTTCAGGATTTTAGCAGGGGTTGGCAACGAACTTTAGAAACAGTTTCCAACTGCGAGCTTTCATTACGTTCCTTATCAATCGTTGATAAGTGATTGTCTATTTTTAGCTATATTATATAATTTAAACTGAATGCTCACCTTAGCATTCGTAGGCTGGGGTGTAATAATATTAATCAGTCTTATTTTCAAGGGGTGAAAGTAATTATGCCCATACTTGAATTGGGCAGTGATAATACTCAGATCAGGCCTTAATCTGAAGAGCGCAGCCCTACATGTAATTGTAGGCCCTACGTTCTTTATTGGTTACAAACAGCGATAGTGTATTGTTACCAGTATTAAATAAATTACAATAAATGGTCACCTTGGCGATCGTCGTCTGGGTATGATAATATTCATGACTCATTTTCAAGGGGGTGCAAGTAAAATTGTGGCTGGCCGATGCTTGTATTGGGGTCTGTCCTATGAAAACAGGGGCCCTATTTTGTAAGCCCTACGTTCTATTTTTGTTACATAGAAGTGTTTGTCTTTCAGTCTCAGTATTTGCTGAACATTGCTTCAGAATCATCCCATCAACGTGCCTTCCCCCTTCGAAAAAATCAGGGTTTAATAAAATGAATGTTTGGGATTGTCGTATATGTTATTATTTTCTCTTAATGGCAAAGCACCACGTGTACTCCGGCACTGTGACAGCACAGACCTGGAAGGTTTCTCCTCCAGGTCTACTGGTGACAATGATTATTTGTAGACAATGGGATTGGCAGTGGCATTGCTGTCAGTGAAATGGTAAGGGGAGATTCTTTGCATGCAGGGCTGGCCCTTAGGGTGGACATGTGGACATTCACTATTCATGCCAACCAAGGGTCACAGGCTTGCACGAAAAAGCATGGATAAACCAGTGCTAGACTCAAACCACCAGGGAATAGATTGTGAATATTCATTACAATCCCTGTTGACCAATGAAACAGGAAGGTCATAACCGTACCATGCGTGCACTTCCCACATGTGGGGGACGGCGCACACGTATCATGAATATTCAGCAAATTCCCAAGGACCAATCAAGCTGGAATGCTGCAGCGGTTATTACGTCACTGCCCAGAAGCGGAAAAAGAGAACGGTCAGGGAGCAGAAGCGCCCCACCGGTACTCTGAACGACTGCAGGAATATCTGTACCGGGACCACCACACACACGCCCAATGGCAAAGACCGTTCTACATGTATATGGCCACAGGAACTGCCAATGGAGGAACGCGACAGGTACGGTTCAGGAGGGCGGCAGGGGGTAAAAAAATTCCACGTGCCAAGACCCTGGCAACCAGCCCCGCACATACGCAGCCGCAAGGCCGGGACACCGCTCCCAACATGGCGTGCGTCAAATCATTCACGGGTGCGCCACTACCTACGCCGGCAACCGCGGGAAGACAGACTGGGCACCAGTGGGTTTCTCTCTTATTAGTATAGATAATGGAGAGGCAGGCAACAAGGGTTTAACATTCCTAAATTGATTCCACACCTTCCCATCAAAGTCTAGACTGCAATGGAAGAGCAAGGCACAAAAGTAGCTTTCGCGGTCTCGGTACCTGGTTCCTGGTATGCCTTCTGATTGCAGATGAAAAGCACGCAGAAATCAGCAGACCCCCTACGAGCTCTTCACTCGCTCTGGTTGCCAGGCTACAAAGTGCCTGCTTGCATCCAAGCAGAGAGTCCATCACTCCATAGGACATTTACTTTCAAACTCGGCAGCGTTTGATACTGGGTAGTTTTTATGAGTCCACCAAGAGAGTTAAGACAAACAGGACGATCTTTACCTTCTACAATGGAGGGTGCGAAGACTATTTGTTTGTAGAACGAGTAGTAGAACCCAGCTTCAGTACGAAATGAGATCTCACGTTCAACCTCCTGCAAAAGAGAAAAAAGAAATATACGGTATGTGACATGTCACCACGAAATGAGCTGAAAGTCAGAATTTTCCCAAATTGAGATATTGGTATATTGGAATTCAGCAAAAGGGAGCTTTCCAGTGGTATGTCTTTGGAACACTTTGAGTAAAAGTATGAGATAACAATGTGACATCATTTTTGTGGCTTTGCGTCCTTGTTCCAGACACTGTTTTAACATTTCTGACAAGGCACAAATAATTTTCGTTAAAATTGCTGCGAAATAACTTTGTAAATATATAAGCCTGTGAAATATTTGAAATTAACCCCTTGACAACGGTAACTTTTTTCTGAAAGCCAACTCCGAGAATTCCAGCCTCGTTGGCTACGAAGGCCACCTGACAAACCGCAAAGTCTCGGTTTGTGGCCCTGCGTGCTCTGCATGCTTTGAATTACACAGTGAAAAAGGCTCATTATTCGTTGACATGCGGCTCTACTCACGCTTCCACGTTCCCATTGCCTCTTTTCAAAGTGGGGACTATTGTAAAGCTGGTGATTGATGCAAATTCGGTCTTTTCACTTCTGGGCTACACACAAAAGCCAATCACCATATATACAAGAGCCAGGGTCTGCCTTCTTTCACCGTGTTCGCTCGAGCGCGGGCCGAGAATTATAGCTGAAAAGCGGGCTGAAGATCTCAATTTTTACGGCGGCTTTTACCGTCATCTGTCGCGAAGGGGTTCAACAGGAGACGGCTTACTCTTTCCAAACATCAAAGTACCCCAAAATTGACCTCCACTTCAATGAGTTTAAACCCTCAAAATAGAAAAGAGTGGAATGCGACTTTACATTCATTTTGTCATGACGGGTCGAATATCATAAATAGTGTGAAAGAATTCATTGTTTAAAAAAAAAAACCACTGCAGGTGATTTAATTGCCAAATACTGTTCAAAAGCCAAAGGGTTTGTGTCTAGTTTGAAAGTTCTTATTCCTGATCAACTTCCTTAGGAAGCCCATGATAAAGGAGAACTCCTCAGGAAATAGATTGGAGCTTTCCCTGTGATAGTTTTGAGGGTTAATGAGGAAGAAACCACAAGTTCCGTTAATACCTCGCTACAGAGCATATGGTCTCAAGTGATTCACTTTGTCGGCGGGTAGAAAAAGGCAGTGTACATAAGGAATGGGTTAGTTCTCATAGTCAGGATCAGCCCCCTACCCCCCCCCAAAAAAACCACTCCTTGATTCTCAAGAGGGGGAGGAAATAACCTAACCATCCTTAAAAAAAAAATCAGGAGGAAAAAACTAAGATTATAGATTGTGAAACGTGATCGGATTCATTGCTGTAGCAGACCACATCTGTGGATTTCCCTAGCAGCTGACCTGTTTCTTCAAATACAGATTTAGCTCAATAAAGACAGATCCTCTAAATCCATCAAGCTATTTTAACAATTTTTCAGGATTGACCCTTGTGACGCAGAAGGCACAGATAGACAACACCCCTATTACATGTATGGTACTTCAGACGGTGCAAGATTACCTCTGACACAAACAAGTACATGTACATGCATACTGATGAGCATTCTGAATGTGCTTGGACCACGAACAATACACCACATTATTTGAAGTGAGCTGGGTCTGCATTTTTTTGTTACGTCTTTTGGCGCGATGAAGCCGACCAACAATTGACAACAACAGATCTATAGCTGGCTGCCACCCATTCACACACCTTCCTTTCAAATGATTCATCCCCGTCTCCTGCCTTCCCCAGTGATTGCTGCTACAAAAGAAAGCAAAAGTTGCAATTCAATTGACAATGCATCACTGTCAAGGTCTCGTGTAGGCCTACAGCTGTACACGATGATGCGTATCTGAGAGAAAAACGCTAACAGTGTACATGTCTTTTGTTTCCTACTGGATGTCAGACAAAGACGGGTTTAGGTCCACTCAGATGACAAACATGGTGAACACAAAGTACAGATTGCACTTGCCTGTACTTTTTTGTTTGGCATTTGCTGTGGTTAGATGACAGTGATTGAGTGGTTGAAAGAAACTGGTGAAAGTGAGCATATAAAGATCTCCAATAATACCCGTTTATTTGATCAAATTGTGAATAGGAGAAGATTGTGAGGCAAACATTACATTTAACTCCCATCTCTTTTATAGCTCTACCTCTCCACTCCCTGAATTGTGAAGGTGAAATAAGCTCACCTCTCCATTCTGAGGTGCCATAATTTGTTGATAAAACACAGGATTTCAAAATCCTCCTGGATATATAAAGGTTTAAAATGGTAAAATAGACTAAAAAAGCTAGAATTTAAGATGGTTAATTGGTTAAGAGAAGGGGGTCCACACACCGTGTTCACGTCTGAACTCATTAAAAAGCATCGTGTCTGAAGGAAATTATATTTCACTTCACAACCCCACTACAGGTACAAGTGACTTTGACAAGTGCATACAAGCTCACAGTCAAAAAAAAAAAAAAAACTGCTACAGGAAGTTCTCAGTCAGCATTTCAAATCCCAAGTTTTAACAAAACGGCAGAGACAACAGTCATGAAATGCCAGCAATCAGGACATGACAGTTATTCCTCATGTAGGTGCAACCACTCTTCTTTAAGTTTGCATTTCAGAATGACCTTTGTTTTAAGATGCATCCAATTTTGCAATTAGAGTCCAGCCACAACCATTAACCACTGAAAAGAGTAACTAAACAGTGCAAGCTACACCATTCAGCAGGCTTGCCTCATCCATCAATGTGTCAACGCCAATTTATCAGGAAAGCACAGACCCAAGCTGTCTTTTTTCCCAGAGTCAGCACGCAATCATTCAGGGAATTAAATTCATTTTTTTTACTGAAAAAAAGTAAGATTAATGAAATGAGTCAGCATGAAATTTCTTCAAAGCACATTCGTGTCTCAGCCTGAGTGGAAGATCAGAATTAAGTAAAGTGCACAGACATGTAAAGGATTCAAGATAAGGCCAAATTGATATATTTTGAAGCTTTTTTTGGAAGCTTGCTTGGTAAACGTAACCACATGGCATACAAAGCTACCGGTACACTTTCACGACTGAACAGAGAAGCGTTGGCATATCATGTCACATGTTGATGCAAAAGGCGCATCTGGCCACTGACCATTTGTTGGGCACTGGTTATTTTTTGCCTGGTACCAAAAATATACATAAACATGTATGTGCACAGGTTACCAAGGAAAACTAACCAGCGGTAGACAATATCGTTAACCATAGTTTGACTAACTCTGATTAAACATACATGTACATGTGCATGTACGCTAGTCAATGATAGTTGGACTAGTCTTGTCAACTATTCGTGACCAGCCTATTGAGGTTGGTCACGTCGTTGGTTGCTTACAAACCGTTTTTAACAGCACAGTGCAGAGAGGACCAGATATAAGAAAAATGCCGGGAAAACAGTATGACACTAGGCCTAATGACCTGACAACAGTTGACTAGGGTCGTTTGCACTTCAAATTTACTGCACATGCTCTACTACCGGTAGTCGTTGTACGTCACAAACCAACCACTAGTGAACTAGTGGGCCTAGGTCCAACTTGCCAATACATGTAGCTGTCTCTTGAATTTGCCATAAGCCATCTGGTTACTTGTAAGGCCACTGTGGTCCCAGTTTAAGTTACAATAACACTGAGAGCATATTTTAGCACAGCAATTTATCTCAGGAGAGATACAGTGTGCTGCAATGCTGGTGATTGAATAAACATCAAGTCAGCTCAACTGAAATGGTGAAAATGAAATAAGCAGAAGTTTATATTGAAATTGGATTAATGGTCCAATTTATGCCACTTCCAAGAGGAAAAAACGTGAAGTTATCAACTTCTCGTTGTGCAAACCAGAAGAGAAGTGCACAAAGCATAGATCCCCCAGTCTGGAAGATTCTTGTTTGACAAACCTTGACACACAGTACAATTGAACTGTTGCAGGCCACATGGCCTGTTTATGCACACTGCAGTCTTCTCAGGTTATAGAGCATGAGGTGCAGTGGAAGAACAAGCTGGTTTGAGGCAAAACTGGACTTCTAAAAATCAACCTAGAATCCTGAATTTTGGGGGGTTCTCTCCTATTATTAATGAAATCAGCAAGAAAAGAAAATCCCTTGTTTGTTGATTCAACTCTCCCTGCACCTGCACAAATCCTCGAGTTCCCTGACAATAAACACCTCTGTCCAGTTTTCACCATTCGCTTGACCTTTTTCCCATAAAAGTGCACCCATCAATTTGTTTCTACTTGTTTCCACAATCATGAAGTACATGCAAAGGGGAAACATATATGATGATACATGTCCATGCAATAAAACCGTGCGAAAATAAAACGCTACTACTGAGTGCATTTTCCCCCAATTTCGACAGATGAATCTAATATTCTTCCATTACTTGTAGTGCATTTATTTTTCCACCCCTGACATTTCGGATCATATGCTGAAGGATCTCCAGGGTTGTAAATTCCACTTGGTCTGTGAGTTATCTCCCCCCCCTCCTCCAGTAAACCTGGGCTTCCCAGGAAAGCCGAAAGTGTTGCCACGTACTGAAGCCACGAATGCTGTCACTTCCAAGCCTCAATTTTGCCATTTAATCAAATAGTTTGGTGGGTAGGTGCAGTGCAAATTTTAAAAAAATGTACATCAGAATATTCCAATGCCTCTGATGTTTTTTCTTATAAATTCCGAATAGAGGCATTCATACATGTATGCCAAAAATAGAACTTGTCAATTGAAAAATGTAGACCAGGTTTCATGTCATACAAAACCCGCCTATACTATTTCAATATGAAGCAATTTTTGAGATTTCAACACTTCTGCCAGAGATTACAACATGGTGGAATTTTGCATCTGGCCAGGGGGAAGTGTGGGGAGAAAATACATCATCAATCATTTGGAAGGGAGTACAACAGTTATCAAATGCCATCAAAAGGCCAGGCACTTGTATACTAAGCCCAAAGGGAGGTCTGGCCGGTCAATAGAGGTTCAACTACTTCATCCTAAAAATAACAAGGCACCGAAAGGACAAAAATGAGAATCTTATCCAGGTTAGAGCTGTCAGGCTAAAACTTGGCAAGTGTGTGTATATCATTCCTCTCTAAATGCTGCAATATTCAGTCAGGGATTTTTCAGTTTAGCTTTTTTGTCTGCACAAAAAACATCCTCAAGAAAAAAAAATCAAATTGAAAAATCCCACTGTTCACTGAAAAGTTGTCAACTGTCACAAGAGTGTTTTGTCAGAAATAGGCCCC